TCATTCCGCCCATCTCACTCTGTCCTTCCGCCCATCACTCCCCTTGTCCTTCTGCCCGTCTCCCTCTGTCCTTCCGCCCATCTCCCTCTGTCCTTCCGCCCATCTCCCTCTGTCCATCCGCGCATCTCCCTCTGTCCATCTGCCCATCTCCCTCTGTCCCTCCGCCCATCTCCTTCTGTCCTTCCGCCCATCCCCTTCTGTCCTTCCGCCCATCTCCCTCTGCTGAGCAGAAAAGGGGGCCCTACTTCGCTGAAACTTTGCAGAAGATACAATGCGCCCGTTCGCCACTGCACTCTTCGATCTCATCATCCGTAACACGTTTCAGAAGGGTGCAAGCGGAACGGCGACGGTGGTGAAGGCATATCATATTGCCTACACCCTTTATCTGGTATGTTTATATGCATGTACAACAGCATTACATGGTGTGTTGTGTTGTATCTTTTGCAGCATTTTGCTCAAACCAGAACCACCCTTCCCCTTCACCCCGTACTCCCTCCTTGTCACAGGTGGAATCTGCAGTGGTGCACCACAAGGCACGTGGCAAGCACATCCCTACGGATGCGTGCGTGAACGCAGATGACATCGCCAGCTACCACCGCAAGGTGAAAGCGGCCATCCGCAAGACCTTCGAAGAGTCCCCGGATGACCAGCTGCCCGCTTGGTCGCACCAGCACCAGGGGTGGGTGTTTGGGCCCACCAAGACCGTGGTGATCTCGGGCAGTGGCTTCCCTGATCTTGTCCCCGATGCCGCTGAAAAGAAGGTTGTTAAGCTCCTGTTCGAGTATGCTCAGCTGGAGCCGAAGAAAGGCAAGAAGATGAAGACCACTTCTAACAACAGTGCTGGCACTGTGGAGCGTGATATCTTGGATGATGTGGGTGAATGGGAGGATGCCAAGGATAGTGTTTAGGGTGATTGGTGAGATGTGTGGGGTTGTATGCCATGGGTGGGTGTAGTGCTGTTGTAAAATATATTGTTGTAATATATATATATGAATGGGTAATGGTCAGATGAAAACAGTGTTATCGGGCGGTGATGTTATTATACACTCGTGCTCGGATGATAAGACGTTCAATCAGGTATAGAAGTGCAGTATGGTGGTTAAGTTATGAATTGTATAACGCGTACGGGTACCCTTATTCCTTGCGCGGTCGGGGTTGCACAACCACAATGTGTGGTGGTGCACACTCGAGGTCTCAAGCAGTTGGTTGTTCGGATATGGGTGACGCGTACGTGGCGTCGTGGGGGCGGGATGTCCTATGTGGGCGTTACAGGTTGTCGTATCAGAGGATAGCGTTATCTCTGTGCGGCGCAGGGAATGTGGTCGGTTGGTTGTGTGGCCAATTTCAACTGCTGTACACAGTGTGCTTGCAGGGGCAAGCCGGGGGTACGTTACGGTCAAATGAAACGTATATAGGAGGAGGTCGTGTGCACTTCAAAGCATACTTGCATACCAGAGTGACAGTGTGTTACAATGGGTGACCTGAAGGCCCTGCTTGCTACCGCACATCCGGATGACGTGTTCTGCTTCCACGAGATTAATTTTCTTCCAAGTCGGCTGCCGAAGTCGTACATTCCGGATAAGCGCAATGTGGTGGAGCGTATCGTCAACGTCGGCATCCTCTACAACGCGACGGGGAGTTGTTCCGCAGTGCCTCTGGTGGTGCTAGAGCCATCCAATAGGCCCGAGCGCCGGCGGGCGGGCGCCGCATCGCGCAAGGTGGCCGTTCGGTATATGAACCGCGGGCGGTTGATGCCGGAGGTATGGATTGTTGACTTTGTGTGCATTTTTATGGTTGGACGTGCATAGCACGTGTGAGTACATCAGGAGCGCGTCCATCTCCGATGTATTTGCGTACCGCAATGGCCGTTGGTGACGTGCTTGTTATGTTTGATTCACTACACACAGGTATTCACGGAGTTTGTGGAGACCGTAAACGGTGTGCACTTCAGCCGTGATCGCAACACCATCATCCTCACCATTCACAAGGCGCATCGCATCACAGGCGAGGTGGCGCCGCCCGTCACGGAGCACGGCTTCAGTGTGCAGCACCTCACGAACACCCGAGTCGTCAACATTCGTGGATCGGTTCCGGAGACGGGCCTGCCGCACCTGCAGGGAGTGGGTGACGCGCTGAAGGCGTATTACCGCGTTATGCTGATGAGGCGTGCGATAGGGTCCAAGCGGTTCCAGTTCGACTATTCGGCTTCCATCGCTGATGTCGACTATAACGACATACTCGAGTGGCTGGGAGAAGCGTGGACTCGTGTGCGCGCGGCTACCATGCAGCGGAGCTGGTGGCGCGCAGGATGCGTGCCGGCGAGCTGGCCGCCCCTGATGGCGTACCTGGGTGACACGTGCGCAACCGGCATGTTCGAGCCTATTATTTCGGTATGCGTCGATTTGGAGTTGCTTATCGAGAACTTCAAGGTAAGGCCTGCGTGCTACATGACGGTCGCGGATTTTATCAACTGCGACGCGGGACTATGCGTGGAGCAGGGGTTCAGAGCCACACCTGCTGCCAGCGCGTCCGATGACTCGTCGGGCGACATGAGCCTGCCTGACGGCCCATTGCTGCGGGACGAGCGCAGCATGAGGCGCGTGATACGCAACGTCACAAACGCGTACGTGGAGCGTGCCGATGAGCTCGGCATCCCCGCGGCGGCTGTGCCTGCAGAGGTCGGAGCATCGAACCAGGAGGTGATTTCCCGCCTATGCAGGACGCCTGTCAAGAGGGCTCGCGCAGGGGGGCGAGCTGAGAACGGGACAGCCGAAGAATTGCTGCAGAGTGATGAAGTGCTGGAGAGTGATGACGACCAGTGATGCGTCTGGCAGTAGTGCGGTTTGGTTGTGGGAGTTGACTGTGTGCGGTATCGTACGTAGGGGGGACGCATTGTTGATGTTGGTGTTGTGGTTGTTATTGTGTGTGCAATGTTATGTTGAGTTGGTGGAATAGTTTTGGCTAATGTGGATATGAGCACCCTAACAGTGCACACACATGTTGTATTGTGACGGAAACAACGAAGCAGCATATTTATGTCGCGGATTTTGGTTCTCACGAAATGGGAGCCGCGAATGCGACTCGAGATGTAGGTGTGCGCTTCGAGTTTCCTACATGTTTGTGGAAAAGTTACCGCCAAGTCACTTTTGTGTGTACGATGACGCTGTGCGTTTCTGATGTGCAAAAAGTTGCGATTCGGGTGCGGTGTTTTTATGCAGCTTTCCGCAACTTTCTCGCAAGGCCAACGCAGAAAAACCTTCGGGGGCCAAAAATCGCAGCTTTCCTTTTTCGCGATGATAAATGACGCGTTCCTCTCTCGCCTCTCCTCGTCATGCCCACAGCTAAAGATTCTTCACATCGGAACCTCAACGGTGGCGGCTGATGAAATTGGAGCGACGAAAGACGACTTCCCAGTCACAGACGCAGGCTTGGATATGTTTTTCCAACGCTGCTCTCAGCTGGAGCAGCTCTCACTCTACTGCCTCCATCCAGACGTCGAATATCGTGCTTCCTTCTTCCAGCTAGCGCATCTGCACACTTTCCTTATCCCCAACCTTTCAATCCTCGAAGCTCCCGAGTTTGCAAACCTCACTTCGCTGACCCACCTTCACTTCCTCTCCAATGAAACGCCAACACATCAGCAACTGGCCAACCTTCCTCGCCTCCCAGGCATCACTTTCTGTCTCCGACAACATCAACTCTCTCCGTCGGTATGAGGACCCCCTTGATGACCTTTTTGAGATTCCTCCTGAGAACCCCCCTGAGGAACCTCCTAACTTCAATCTCGCGCAGCTGCCTCGTTTCAAATCGTTGAAATTCGATCACCGCTTGCCGTTGACAGCGCCCTGCACCAACATCCAACGGCTGGAAATCCACAGGATGGGTCGACTAGACTGGCTGCGCCTTTCGGGTGACTTTGGACACTTGCTGCCTTCTCCCCGTGACCTCACGTTTCACGGCACGCTAGATTATTCGATCGACTGCCCTGAGGTTTTCCTGCCTTGGACCCTCCCTTCCCTAGCTCTTTTAGAAAGCCTGACCATTTCCAACTGCTCTGGGCTTTCCAGGCTCCCCGAGGGATTCGGGAACTTGTGTGCCTTGCAGACGCTGTTGCTGCGGAACCTGTCTCTCTCAGACCTCCCTCATTCCATCGTTCAGCTTTCAGCCCTGAAAACACTCGTGCTGCACACTCTGTCTCTCACCCGCCTCCCTGATTCCATCTGTCAATGTACCTCCCTGAAAACACTCGTTCTGTTTCACCAGCCACTCACTTTCCTCCCTGAATCCCTCAGTCAGCTCACCTCCCTAGAGACATTTATTTTGAAAGACTGCGGTTCCATCAGCAAACATGAATCTTTCCAGCTGCCCGAATCTTTCTGCCGCCTCACTGCACTCCAGACCCTTTGCATCGTGCGCATGCCGCAACTGAGGCTCCCAGCGGATATCGGAAACCTCTTCAATCTGCAGACGGTTTTTCTGGACAGATTGCTGCAGCAGCTGCAGCTGCCGGAAACTTTCACCTAGCTGTCTTCCCTGACATGGCTTGAACTGAGCGGCTGCATGATTCAAGAGCTTCCTGAGACCCTCGGGAATCTGTCTAACCTGCAAGAATTGCGTGTCTATTCTTGCCCAGCCCTTCTGAAGCTTCCAGAGTCCCTAACAAGGCTGTCATGCCTTGAGAATCTTATTGTTGAGAACTGTAAAAGGCTGACTTCCATTCCCAGGAGCTTGGAGAAAATTAGGAAGCTTAAATTGCTTCAGTCAACCGAAGGAAACGGTCATGGCACAGTGGACCTGGCAGATATCTCAGTGCTGCCGAAGTTGAGAAAGCTGACCTTAGCACCTCCTGTTAGAAAGGACCCCCCTCACTGGTGTGAGAAGAATGCATGGCTGACTTGTGATCTTTGAATTATGGAGCACGTGGTGTTGGCCTTGTAAGATTCGGAGAAGATCCGTGTGGAGGAGAGAGTCTAGTACGGTACATGGACGACAGTCTTGTTTGGTTTAGCTCAGAGCCAGCCACTGGAGCAAAACTCAAGCGACTCAAGTCAGGGTTTTTATCAGTAGGCTAAACATTTCCTTATCCACATTCCCTATTGCCACAAATCTTCAAGGTATGCTTCGTCTCTGCTGGGATGCAGATCAGTTCTCTCAATGTCAGTAGGTACCAGCAGGATTAAAATAACTTGGGACAACTACCGGTAGGTCCATCCTCAACCCCAAACCAGAAGCTTCGTCCCGGGCCTGGCGTTTCACTTCCATTGCTTCTCAAACTCTTGATGTCACACCTGCTCCAGTTTCACCTGATTCTGTTACAGCAGCTTCTCTTACAGATGCTCCGGTTACAGCCGCTCCTGCTACAGCCGTTCCTGCTCCAGCCGACCCCTCTAGATCCGTACTCGTTACAGATGTCCCTGATATAGCTGCGTCTGTTACCGCTGCACCTGTTACCGCTGCTGCTGCTCCAACTGCTCAGACGGACCCGCTGTCGCTGCTTCCCTTCCTCCTGCCATTCTCCTCTCGCCAGCCGTCCCTGGCCAAGGAATGATGGACGCAAACAGAAAGTGCTGCATTATTTGCACCTCTCTCCCGCTCCGTGACTACCTCTGCTGATTCACCTGCCCCTCTCTCCCCTCTCTGACTAAGAGCGTGTTCCTACGGACCCCTATCAGGCTAACCCCTTGTCAGCATCTCAAAAATCCTTATTGATTTCACATACCATTTACATAGTGGTTTCATACTTGTTAGTATGTGTTTAGGTAGGGTGATTAGGGATACTATAACGTAGAAGTTGTCGTACGTTTTTAGTATGGGACAATTCTATACAAAAATGTATTGCTCGTTTAGATAGTAAATGTACCTCAAATACATATCCGTTATAATACATTTGCTTTCCCAACAATATGAATCTGTGTGTCATGCATTTGCAGTAAAAATAACACACATTTGCATGACCAATGGTTCACCAATGGTAGGGCAATGATACTGATTTGGTGCTTCATTTATTCTTACTAAACATGTTTCCGATGTTCACTAAAACCTCTACATTTGTTCCATCAAACCGCGCCTCTACACATAAAGAACGCACTACGCAGCGATTTAGGGTTTAAAATTCCGAGCTGCAACCACTGGTCTCTAAACGCATTGCGTCACTCGCATAGTATAAACCTATTTACTAGCTGCACCTTTTTGTTGCTGTACGAAGGGCACACGTGCACCACTCTCTGCAGGCTTTTCAGCTCCACCACCGAGAACCTCACATCCTCCACTGTCTTGTGCAGTTGCGTACATCCCGTCAGGTTGCAGCTCCCAGCCTTCTCATAGTACCTCACATATGCGTACCCCTTCCAATCCCCATCACGGTCAACCGCCCTGAAAATGCACAGACATTTTGCATACCAGTCCCCACCCTTGTCATTGAGCAGCGCCACGTCCGAATACCACCTCTCTCGGGGCGACGCCTTCACAAATGTCCCTTTGGCCACCAGCTCGCCGCCTCTTGTGCGCGGAATGGCCACCGCCGTGTGGACTTGTCACCCCATCCCCACCAAACCAACAACACGTGCACATCATGAGTGCGGTGAGCACCATCATGGAAGACTACAAACGTCACATGTCCGCCACATTGTAATCACTTCACCTGCACGCTGTTGGTAGCCAGACCCAACGCCTTAAACTCGTCAGCCAAACCCTTCATATTGTCTCCCAGCACGGTTATGTACTCATCGTACACTGGATCCGACGCTCCGCCAATCCGCATTGTCCGATACTTCTTCGTGAGCACCGGTTTCTTCGTCATGATTGCCTGCACGTACCACATGCATTTGCACAACGAACCACACGGTGTTTGAAGCATGCCTCCACCCCGGTGTACGGTGTACTCTGGACTACCAACACTGGGCATCATCGTCGCCAAGACCCCCTAACACACCTCACGCAAGGCGCACGCGTACTGTCGCCCACCCCCAGCGTCCGCCGCCACCTCGCGGTACACCTCGCGCTGCACCTCCTCCTCCACGATTCGTCGAGGTATGTCGCTCCAATTGCTCCCTCTTACTGGACCCTTCACCGTGCCCTTGTGCGTGCGCTCCCACATTTCGGTTGAATAGTGGTGCGGCATCCCACGCTCCTTCACGTTGTCCAGCAAATGTCTTATCATGTGTATCTTTGGGAGCTTCCAGTGGGATGCCTGCGATGGGAATGCCTTCGGTAGCAACGCCACCAACCTGCACCGGCACCCCCGACAAGGCACAATACTGGATGCATCACCGTATTTGGCGACCTCAAAATAGCTGTGCAATCTTGAGGCATAGCCTCCCATAAATCTTGTTGACCCAACGGCGTGGGGTATACAAGTACTCACGCTATCGCATGCTGCCGGGCAATCGCAATTGTCATGTGTGTATGCTTGTCAACCCCCAGAAACGCCTTGTAGAACACGGCATACAGCCGGAACGCCTTGACCTGCAAAGCACGCAGCTCTCCCTCCGGTCCATCCTTCAATGCACTCTCGTCTGCCACCAGTATCGGCATTATATGCATCATGCTCCTGTGCTCGAACGCCGCGTAGTTTGTGCCAGAACTGAAGAACGATGATCCCCCAGGGATACGGAGGAGAACGCTTGGAGTGAAACGCTTGAACTCCTTCTTGCGGCTGCGCACATACATAGTACGATGTCGTCATCCGCTGACACACATGGGGGCCTAGACCCCACCTAAACCCCTGCAGAATATAGCTGGCTACCGCTCTCACACCCGACTACACCTAACTCACCTTTCAAGCAGCCGCATCTCAACCTTTCCAAGAGGTTCGATGTAGGAGTCCATCATGTGGATCAGCACACCGGAGTCCAGCACGTGCAGTGTGTCTGCTAGGCATGCCAGGTACACGTTTCCCCACTCTGTGTCTGCGAAATTCCACCTTTGAAGCACGCACTGCAACCATCCAACAGACGACACAGTGTTGTCAAACAGTCCACATGATATCCAGCCCCCATTCAGTACGCACCACCAAACCGCGCACCAGCAAACACACCTCGATCGGATGGGTTGACCATAACTTCCGCACATCGTCTGCCTCGCCCTTCTTCTTGCACGCCAAGATCTGACGAACAATGTCCCTCTGCTGATCGGGGGTCCGTGGATCACACTTCCCCACCATCATGGTCAACTCCCCCTTCACAGCATAGCAGTTAGCGCATGGCCGATGCGATCCTTGCTGCAGAGTTGCGGAGGCTCTGCTGGATTCCGGGAAGTCGGCAGGGTATCCGTACAGGCAAGGGACCGCCTTGTGCACCTTCCCGTCCGCGTCTGTGCAGTAGAAGAAGCGTACTGGCGCGCTGCATAGTGCCGCAATGCACACATAGTGTTCACTTAGTGATGGATCGTATGCATATCTCCCAATAGGGTGGCTACTAACTGGGGTGGCCCCCCTTCCCCACCCGTGTATCGTTATCATCCCCACCCCCATCCCCTCCCAGTACCTGGCGGACTCTCGCATGATGGGCGCGAGTATTATCTTCAGCGCCTCCTGGAACACGCGCGTCTTCTCCGTAGGCGACGCCCATTCAGGCGGGAATGGAAGCACCGCCGCCAATGTGTGCCCGGGCTCCACTCCTCGCAATTCTTCGGGTATGTTGACAAGTGAGATCAGCACAGGCCACGCGTTCCTTCGTCCATTCCGTGATGCCTGCGTGCTATCGTTGTATATCAGCACGCCTAGTACGAGTGCCTGGTCGTCATTAATCTCTTTCTGCCATGTAGAGCGCACGGGCCGGTGAGCGTTGTGACACCTCGTGCAGGTACCAGTATGCACGACATATGACAACTGAACAACAAACATGTGCGTACCTGAGCAGAGTGCATCCAATCACCTGTCTCCGGTCCTTCAAATACCCTCTCGTTGTTCTTCTTCCGATAAATCTTCCTCGGCTTCCATACGAACCCCTTTTTGGATGAGAACGTCCGCACCAGCTTCTTCAAGATCTGTGTGCGTAGCGCAAAAACTTGGGTGAGAACATGATGCGGGCCAACTTCATCTACACGTCACCCCGACATCGCCTCCAGGTTGGCCTCCCATCACGTACCAACTCGGTGTCGCGGAAGTGCAGTAGCAGCTTCATTTGTAGTCCTTTGGGACCCCTCACCACTATCTCCTCCGTTTTCCACGGGACCATGTCGGCTGGAGCTCGCGCCATGCCCCAGCGGCGCACATCCACCCAGTTGCGCCATCGTCTGAGAGCCCTTAGGTTGAAGCGAGGGTTGCGGAAAATGTGTAGCAGTCGGTTAACTTCCCGGTGCGACAGATCGGCGTCACGGAAAAACAGGTACAACTCTGTCAGTGTATCAAAAATCTCCGTCCTATCGTTGCCTTCTGTAGACTCGGCGTTAGCGCCGTCGGATGGTGTATCCGCGTCGCCAACCACACTAACTTCGGGTATCGACACCATTGGAGCAACGGAGAGAAAGTTGCCATCGTTGTTTTTAAGCCTGGATGCCGGTGGGGTATTTGGTCTACTCTCTCCTTCGCACGCAACGGCTTCCAAATATGCCGCCCACAAAAGTTGTTCACGCTTCCTCTTCAACTCCTCGCGACAAACAGCCCCATTCGCTACATGGGACTGTAACCTGCTGTCGTCCTTAAACACCGTCTTGCACACCAGGCAACTGTTCCCCGCCATCCTACGGCCGTGAAACCCTAGGAATTGCTGCTGTGAAAACCCTGCCCAGCACATCTGGTGCACTCTTGTACAACAGAGTTGGGCTGGTTCGAGCACACGCATGTGCAGGAAGCTGTGTGGTGTGCGCACAGAACATAGCCGTACTCGTTGCAGTGAAAGGTACAATTATATTATGTGTGTATGTGTTGCATATACAATTGTCCCACCGACCCACCAATGATTGTAACTTGTTTATCGGGTTTTTAAAATTATCATCAACTGTTTCCGTAACCACCAACACCATTGCATATCTTTGATTCTTTGTCATGTCGATTCACAAAAGTTTTGGCAAACTCAGTCCACCTTCAACTGACGTAACATAACACATTGCAATCGCGTTTACTTGTTGTACAAGTTTAATAACCATGTACGCCTCGATTGCAAAAACCGGGACTCGGCGCGCGAAAAGACACATACACGTATGTTCACCATACGGCGTACATCGTTACCGTAATTCGCGTCATTCGGCCTCCATATCAAAAAATTCGAACTACAGGTACACAACCGCACATTCGCTTGAATGCATCTGCTTGGTAACCCGGCTTCAACCTCCGACCACATCATCCGAAACCCTAGGATTAGCACACGTGGATCTGTATGGCGCTGAACCATCACATCCTCTCGAGTGGTCGCATCACACCTGGCCATCGCATGCACGCTTGCGCCAATGGTGTAGATCAATGGAGCTCTACATGGTCACACCAGCTGTGCATGATCCAAGAGGGTTACGCCTTTCTATCTCCTTCATTTTCCATAGTATCCTCATCGCTTGCGCTCCCCGTAAATGTGTTCCTCCGGCCAACCCCACCTGCTCTCGACTTAATCAGCCGGTGTAGTTTGTATTCTAGTCGTTGTTAGATCATGATGGCGAATCCTAAGCAGTTGACATCTAAGCGCAACAGGTTCTATCAACCCGAAACTAGCAGCAGCTCCGACAACCAAGATCCTGCCCCGCCGACGTGCAGAACCAGGTCGTCGAAAAAGGCCGAGTCTAACATGAAGAATCCAGGGCCGATCCCGCCGACTAAGGACTCCGGAAGGGCCAGGAAGTTTGCTACTCATAAGGAGGATACGGCGCGGGAGCAGGTGCCGGAAGATTTGGTGGCCCTCGTCGCACGGAATTACATGAAGTCTTCGTACAGAAACATGACGCTTATAGATCACCGCGGCGTCGGGTGTGAGGTGGATAAGGACGACCTCATGTTGATCGAGGATGATCAGTGGATTACTGATGGCGTGCTAGACTTTCACAACGTGTAAGTATCGTCACGGCGGTCACCTGGTTGACGCTTTGATGCGTAGTATCTGATGTATGGGCAACATCTTATACGCTTTGTTATTTCTTGTTCATTAACTGAGCAGGCTGCTTAGCATCCGGAAGCCGACTCTCCGTGACGGGAAAACATGGGCTGCCTTGGACTGCAAGGCGTACTTCCAGACGAACTCGTGTGGTGCGCCTTTGACGCTGGGGAACGGGCTTCCGCTACTGCAGCACGACTATCTCGCGATCCCTGTGCTAGAGGGGTACGTATCACAAATATCCGGTTCGTGAGCGGATTCTTTAGCATGACACCGATGGTTGTCTAACCCTAATCCCAACATACCCTCTCATGTTGAGCGTAGGGAGCACTACTCGCTCGTCATCGCTGTATCTCCATCGGTGCTTACCAAGTCCGCGAAATCCGAAGGCAAAGAGCGAATGAAGTTGGTCTTGCTGGACAGTAGCATAAAGACAAGGAACACCCGCATGATTTTTGCAGGCACCAAGCTGTGAGTACGGGGTTCACTGTCGACGTTGCATGTCGCTGGCAGCAACCCAGAACTTGTTTTAACGATTTCGGCCTGTAACGTGCAGTGTGCTGTCCGAACTCGCCAAGGCGAGTAACCCTGACTCGAACATGGAGTTTGTGGACAAGCAGCTGTTGGAGGCGGAGTGCATAATATTACGGGTGAGGGCACCAGTGAATGCGCATACCTGTGTGCACAATGTTTACGATGGTAGACGGATTGCTAACTGTAGTGTGCGTTTGTCGAAGTGCAGGAGGATAAGCTGCCACAGCAGCCGAACAAGCAGGACTGTGGAATTTTTGTTTGCCAGTACCTGAAGACCCTGGTGATGTCCGACTTCACCACGTTATTGAGCGGGCTCTGGTTTCAGGGTGTGACGCCGCACCAATACCGGTGGGAGATGCGGCGCGACTTGTGCGCACACGCGACCGGAGATCTCATTCAGCAGTTGGAAGCGCTGGGGATCGAAATTCCCCCGCAGGACGCAGGCCGGGAAACCGAGGGGGGGGCAGTGGTGCGGGAGAGGAACGCTGGTATGGAAGATGTGAGGCAAGCACCGGTCACTCAAGCCGGGGATGACGCACGGTTAACGGCGATGATGAGGGAAATGGCGACTTTGAAGAACGATGTGATGTACCTGGGCGCGAGCTTCACCGTCATAGCCAGTTTTGTGGGATTGAGGCGCGACGAGGTGGTGTCCGCTGCAACCCAACTACTGATGCAAGGCAACCCCGTGAGATCCGGCGCGAAAGCAGAGGCAGGTGGCACCAAGAATGCCCCACACACTCCACAGCGTCCATCCGGTCGCAAGAGGCGTGATGACAGCAGTCCAGAGGAGGATGGCGTACGCAATGCCACCCGTGTTGCGCTGGCCTCCTCGTTCGCTGCATGTGATCCGACAGCGCGCTTGCTGCAAAACCCGCTGCTGTCGGGAGGGACCATACCTCACTGGATGTTCACCCGCGGGAGACCGCTGCTCGGGTTGACGGTGCCGGCTGGAGCTGATGCGTAGGGAGATACGAGCGGCCACGAGACGGTGAAGGCAGAAGAAGAAGAGGATCTCGTGTCAGACACAGAGGACGAAGAGGATGGTGACGACACGTGTGCAACGAAGTACACAGGAGTCAAGTTGGAGAAAGCATCAGGCAAGTTCGGCGTGAAGATCCTGATCAAGGAAGGAGGAAAGCGTAAGCAACAGCGGCTGGGTGCATACACCTCGGAGGAGGAGGCGGCGTTTGCGTACGCCGCAGGTGCGTTCGTCCTGAGGCCACGAGACAAGATACCCAACACGGTCAGTCTGTCAGCCGCAGAGAAGGCGATGCTGCGTGGATGCACCAAGGAAGATCTGCAGCTCCTGGTGGAAGCGCGGAGGTGGTGGAGGTGGCGGAGCTGGAGGGAGGCGCGGGAGGGCGTGAACTGGAAGCTGAAACGAGGGAGGAAGCGAGTGGTTGCCACGCGCACGTCAAAGAGGCAGAGGGTGGTGGATAGCAACAACAAGGCGGCCAACGAACCAGACGACCCTGACAATGCTGAGCGTGGGGGAACGGCCCCTGTGCACAACGGCAGCGGCGGGTGTGCTCGGCACAACGAAGCCGAGGAGGGTGTGGAATACTCTGTTGCACATGAGAAGTTGGCAGACCATCCTGCATAGTTGATGTAGATGCATAGACGTACACATGAATGCAATTGTACGGTATGTTTTGCGAGAAATGCAGTTAGAGATCTGCAGGGCGTCAGATTTTCTGCTTGTATTCGTGATTGATGGGTGCGAAGGCTCTTGCTTACACAATGTAGCTCAATTGGTTGGTACATTGTGTGCTAGTGTAACGTACAATTGGTGAGATGTATAATGAAAGGATGTACGTCAACAACGTGCACAGTGAATACTTCCGTGAGACAGGATGTACTCACAAACGAGTTCCAACGATACGGTTGTGTCGCCAGGATGTGCGCGGTGTGTGGTTCATGTGTGCACACATGTACATGGCGGCGGATGACGTGGTGTGCATGTATTAGCCGTTTCGGATTGCGGTCATCCAAATGGCCACGAAGTCGTATTGTCTACCAAACTCACTGCCCAAGATGGGCTCCAGTGTGGTAAGAAGTTGAGCGGAAGCTATACGTAGAAGTATAGAACTGCGCGTCATTCTGTCAGCATCTCACTGGATACTATTGTTGCTACAATGGATACTTCGCTTGCTTCAGAGGATACTCGGACGGGAGGGCGCGCCCGTCGTGTATCTAACCCGCCGGCGTACCTACGAGCGTCGTATCAGCTGACAATGCCGCGCGGTCGGCTGTCGAACGGGAAACGCGGGCCGACACCGCCTAAGCGTCTGAGCGTGGCCAAGAAGGGAAACGAGGTGGTACAGCATGAGCAAGGTATGCAGAAAGAGCGTGGATGGGTGACTCGTTGTATTAATGCGAGTGTTCGCATTGTCTATACGTATGAACCCCCGTGTACAACAAGTATAGCTGACATGTGGTACCGTGCTTGTCTGGAGCCTCTGTATCATCGCAGATGACGGCAGTGGTGCAGAGAGTGCTTCATCGTCCGAGCACAATGAAGAGGATGGCAAGGCAGACTCAGACACATCGGCCTCAGCCTCACCCGAAGAATCCGGCGAACCTGCCACTGGAGGGAAGACGGCCGACGATGGGTGTGCGGGAACCGCTTCACCCAAAGCAGACGGGCGCGAAAGTCGGGGCGCGGGGGAGACGGATGTGTTTCGGGGCGAAGGCCGAGGACATGTGGACGGGCATGTGGACCGCGCATGCGGGACCCCAGTGGACACCGACGGCGATGACGTGCGCATCTCGAGCAGGGTTCTCGAGCAACTCATCCGGGCTCAGGACAGGAGCGCCAAGGAGAACGCGCGGTTGGAGGCGCTGTTCTTGAATGCAATGGCGCAGCCTTCTGGTGGATCTCGTAAGCGTAAGGCTCGGAAGCAGAGAGACCCGGAGCAGGGGTGCATGAACCCGAAGCGTCAGCGTGGCGAGACATGGAGCGGCGGGTCGGACGATGACGAAGAGGACGACGAGGAAGATACGCATGGTTCTGGTGGTCGTCATATGCGTACTGCAAAGTCTCCTATTCTGCAACGCGCGTTGGCGCATCTGCCGACAGACAAGGCGTGGAAGGTGAGCGGGCATGTTTCCATCTCGGTTCAGTAACTTCCCGTCCGGATTGGGTTGCACTCTGTACCCGTTGATGGTCCACGGTGAATGCTGATGTTGGTGATGGTGTATACTATGGGTGCGCAGCGGGTTTGCGAGCTGGCCAGAGTTCACATGTTTCTCAACAGGCCCACGTCGTCGATGACCTTCTACCCGAGCAGCGACGATAAGACTTACGGAGTGTGCGCGGTGCTGGACCGCCTGCCTCACAGCTTCGCCTGTTTGGCGTTGGCGGCTGACAAGTCGCGACGGGCGGATCTCAACAAGACGCTGTCGGAGTGGAAGGCAGGGGCTGCCGCTCGCGTGCGAGACATTGCACTTCCCAAGCTCGGCCTGTTCCGGGACGACAGGGACGCATCCAGCCCGTGGGCACCTGAAAAGGAGCGTAGTATCGAGAAGATAAGGGAGCGCATTGGGCTTGGCGCTGACCCCCCTGGTGAGTGCATGAGACGCGCGTTGGAGTCGTCGACCATTTCTAGTCATGCACCAATGCGAGAATTGTGGACATTGATACCCACGCTTCGGATGTGGTGTGCAGAAACTCTAGTGCTGACGAGCTGGGCGCACGACAGGGATGGCATGCCGTTTGCCTCCCGGGCGTTCGCGACATGTGCGAAGGCTGCCTTCAAGCCGAAGAAGGCAGGGCTGGTGATGACCCTTAAGGTGTACCACCTAGCCTGGTTGGAGCATGTGGTGAGTGTGTGCGCGCGATGTGTGCAATGGTGTGCATCCTACTGGAAATGCATGGACTGACGCTTTTTGTGTTGGGCTCAGGTCTCCGACTGCGTCCTCTACTGGGAGGCGCGGAAAGGCCGGCTCTCCAACTCGGCGGGCGGGAACGCCCACATTGTGGATGGGCTTAAGGTCCTGGTCAAGGAGGCCGTGGAGAGGGCGATCCGTATCCGCAACCCCGAGTATGACGCGGAGCGCGAGGCGTGGATTTGGGAGCGCCATGGCCTGCGCATATCTGCGTGCGGCCTGGAGCACATGAAGACCGCGGCCGCCGCCCAGTCCGAAGGCATCGTAGGGGATGACGACCTTTCGGCGTCACTTGGTGCTGAGTAGACCGTCAATAGAGGATGTGGGTGGTGGACGGTTGAAGGGACAGCTGGAGAGCTGCGTTGATGGAATCTTGTACGGCTATGTGTGCGGTGTTGGAAGTTTGGATATGTGGGGTAAGGGGGTTGCATGTGTGTGATTGAGAGTTGAAGAGGACGGGTGTAGTTAGGAGTTGTGGTACTCATTGTGTGCGACCTTGTTATGAATGGGAGAACTCGTTTGGGGTATTGTTGTTCGAGATAACACAGGCAAGTAGAGGATGATGTACAATGCGACATGCAGGTGTGAACCAGGTGTGCGGGCGGACTAATGGTGCACCGCACTTGGCGGCGCGTGTCGCGGAGGGTTCCATATGTCGCGACTGGGTTGGACGTGCCCGTCACAACATTGCGGGCGTGAGGCGTTCCGATTGGATATCATCATGGATAAGCATTGAACTGGAACGTATGCCCAATTTGACACGCACGAACAAAACTACGCGTGTCACTCTACTGTACGTTAGAACAATCGAATTTACGTGTAGGAGTGATGGCGTACTGGTTGGGAGCTCGAGTTGATATTAGACGAGGGCGCGACAGGTGTACGGTCAAGATTGTTTCGCGCACATTGAGCGAATGATTATGGCGAGGAGATGGATGGATGGTTACTAGATGTGCGAGTGGACGATCCGAAGGCAAGTGTATGGGGTAGATCGCGGCTGTGAGCGCAACGTGGCAGCTGGGAGTTGGAGACTATGTATGCAGATGGACTGTGCGGATGGAGTCGCAACCTTGTAGCGTGAGCAAAACGACTAGGTGGCGAGAAATATGGCGAAGTAAACGAGAATGTGGCGGTGCGACATTTGTACGGCGAGGGTGCAATGTTGGATAGGGTGGATAGGCATGATGCGCCCTCCGATGGATGCCAAGTGGCAAAATGCTAGTGGGTCCCGTACACGGGAGTTGCGACGTGCGCACCGGTGGGCTGCTTCAAAGTGTCACGTATTTACAGGCTGAGTGATGAGGAGATGGACGGAGAAGATGCAAGTGCGATGTGTCAGCGAGTAGTCGCGAGGTGGTGCTCGCGAAGGAGTAACATGATGTGCGAGTAGCTGACAGGGCGACACGTGAACCGTCTAGATTGCGTGAACAAACGATATATCTAACGGATGGGGTGCGGGTACGTTTTGATGGGTGAACGCTTACGTGGACCATCGGGTTGATACTGGATGCCACGTGTGTTGTCGCGTACGGATGGCAGTTGGGGTTGCGTAGTTGCAACTTTCTAGTCGGTTGGATAGGTTAGGTTTGGTAAACTTTCATGTGGTGCAGACCGTAAAGGTTTTGCAACGACAACGTAGCAGGTGTAGTATCTGATTTGATACACGCATGTGTACAGAATGCAGCGGAATAGTGACTGGGTAGTTGGTTTGTCAGTTACTGACGCTATGCAGTTCTAAAACCTTGACTTGAATGTGCCGGGCAAAAATTATCGAGGAAGTTGCGGCTGAGTGTATTCTGAGTGGCTTTTCGAGCTTCCCTTTTTCGCGATGATAGTGCTCACGCGGCCGTCGCTCAGATGGAGATGGGTTAGTTTTGGGAATAGATTGAAACTGTTCGCCAGTGTTTGGCTAGAAACGGAAGGTTTGTCGTTATCGAGAAGAAGCGCGTTGACGTAGTGGCGGTAAAGTCGGCGCCAACGGCGGCAGAGGGAGGAGATTTGAAGAATGCGGTCGATGTTCGCAGATGGGAGAAGCTTCGGTAACGGCGTCTCCCTGTCATGGCACCTTGCCTTCTCACTCGAAGGGTGTGCAGAAAGGTACTGTGGAGACGGAGACAAGGAAAGCAAGTCCCATAAAGCGTCTCTGGCCGATTTTCTAGGCACGGGATGCTCGTACTGCTCGTAGTAAAACAAGATTCTACCGAGTATGTCGTCAGGAAGCGCATCTATGTTTGTGGGAGTCTCCATTGGCTCCTGCTGGGTCTGTTAAAACTCCTTCGCGAGGTGAAGCGAGACTGAGGATAGTTGCGGACGAGAGCTGAGCTAAGGAGACGGGATTCAGAAACGTAATAGAGAAAGTTGATAGGATATGAAGAGAGGAAGACCAAGAAGCCACTTATGCTAGGAAGAAAGACAAGCGACTCGGAATGGTAAATAATGTGTCACGTCCCTGTTTCGCACGGCACTTGGCATAGCGCCTGCCCTGTTGGATTAGAGGAGATGACGAAGATACGAAAGTAAAATCCAGACTATGACAAGTGTTCGGAGTAGCTACTATGCAACGGTGGCTTTCCAACTCAAGATTCGAGAAGCAAAATGGTTGTGAGAAATGAGAGACCTGAGCTGAAAACAACTGCGGGTAAAAGATCTGGATAAAGTGGGGGGAGATGAGAAAAAGGGACAAGGGAGAAAAAGGGAGAAGGGGGGGAGACGAAAAAGAGGAGCGTGTACAAGCAGGTGTGGGGAACGGGTGGGATGAGGGGGGAGAGGTCTGGGTAGTTTTTTCTTCGGTTTGTTTTCGAGCATTTCCCGAGGTGGCGTACCAGCTACACCACCGATCTGCCAAGTGCCGAAAATCGGGTGGTTCACGGTCTGTTTCCCGCTTTATTTCTGGGGCTGTTATTGGGCCTTACCCGATGTGCCGCGTGTTTGTGTCGCTACACGTATCACTTTCTACCTAGCCTCCGCATTCATGAAAAGTCACTCAACATCGGCATTTCCCTTCTCCCACCCTTCTCCCACCCTTCTCCCGCCCTCGTGATGTGCCTGCAGAGCACCGCCATTCTCTCATCTCAGCATTTCCGAAGGGTCGTCGTTCCTCGAGTGGTCGTTGTGTTCGAGTCGTCGTAGTTACTCTTGCAATGCAAGTACTACGAGTATGTTGTTTCAGGACTCTGAAACGACAGATACATTTCGGCAGTGGAAGGCAGGGCTGTCTTTCGGCCATGGAAAAGGCTTCGGGCTTTTCTTCATTCACTTGCGAGGCGATTCATAATGCCTAAAACTTTTCATCCAGGCACCCTTTTCGACGGCCACCAGCAATCACATAAGTCACCCTGACCTTCGTGAGCCTTTTTCGTCCACTCGAAAGCCACCGGAGGCGACGCGAGAAGGGAAAAACCGCATGTCCAATCGTTTGCAAACAGGCCGCTGTCGTAAAAATAAAATTTCGCGGTTTTGTCGCGTCGAAAGAAGCGCAGCGGGTCGTCGTGGGGATCGTCGCCGCTGTGTCGTCGTCGGCTGTTTCCCATCTCTTCCGCACATTCCGGCCCGTGCCCTCGCTCCTCTCCCTCCATCAGTACCGGGCCCAGTGCTCCGTCGCCCTCCTCGCGTCGCCTTCGCTTCAGTGGCCTCAGAACCTCCGTGTATATTAATCTCGTCACGTGTTGCGATGCCACGGACTTCGTCGTACTTGCTAATGATAGGTAGGACAGTTCTTGGAACGCGTTAATCAAGCTTCTATTCTGTGTAAAACTTGAAGTTGGTGACAGCTCAGTCGGCCAGGCCATTTTCCGCGCTGTAGTACGGTCACGCCTTGCTCCTGTCGCAGTGGTATGGCTTCAAACGGGGATGACCATGTTGGGGATGAGGCATCGGGGAGCCGCCACCGTGGTTGCTGCGAGATGGGAGCGATTCGTCACGAGAATTTGCCAGAATTTGTAACGCTGGCGAAGGATGACGCCAAGAGCCTGGAACTCGAAGAGCCGCAACATCGAGATTCGCAGCAGCGCCAAGAGTCGCATCAGCGAGTCGTCATCCCACCTGCGAGTCTTAGAGACGAGCTCGTCGACGCCGTCGCTCCCATCAAGTCGCTCCTAGACATCGACGACTTATTAGACCACCATGGCGGCCCGTCGGGCGAGTCCCGGCGCGAATCGCGAAGCGGATCCTTTAGTGGATTTCGGAGCGAAGGGTGCGGATCTTATCTGGAGTGCGTCAGGCGCGCGCTCTTCCACGTGTTCCCGATCCTGCAGTGGCTGTCGGAGTACAAGCTGACGTGGCTCCCGGGTGACGTGGTCGCCGGCTTTACTATCACCAGCCTCGCCATCCCCCAGGTCAGATACCGCTAACCGCTATATGCTAACTGCTAACGGCTAATTGCTAACTGCTAACGGCTAACTGCTAACTGCTGACGGCTAACTGCTAACTGCTAACTGCTTGGCCACGCGCTGCTTGTTTGGTCTGCCAGATGCTAACCGCTAACCCGCTTCGCCCTTACTAGCCTCGCCATAACCCAGGTCAGACACCACCCGCCCTTTGCCATCCCCCTGGTCACATGCTAACCGCTCGATGTCTCACACTCACCGCTAGCCCCTTGGTTAGACGCTACCCGCCCTTTGCCATCCCCCAGGTCACACATTAACTGTCTGTCGTCAGACACACTGTGAATCTCGCAGGTCACCCTAACCGCTAACCGCTTGGTCATGCGCTAACCATTTGGCCTGTCAGACACTAACCGCTAACCTGTTCCCTTTAGACGCTAAGCGTTAGGTCAGAGTCATAATTGTGAAGAAATGTGGTGGTTGTAGATTGGCGGGGGGGCTCTTAGTACAAGTTTAGTACTAATGTGTCACCACCCTTGCTTATGATAATTCCAATCAATATTTTTCCTTGACCACTTCCCCCATCCCTCCTCTCCTCTCTGCAGGACTTGGGATATGCACAACTGGCCCACGTGCCTCCAATCAACGGCCTCTGTATGTAACTCCCTCATCCTCTCCCCTGCCCCTAACCTCCCCATATTTGCTTTTGAGTCGACTCAAAAAAAGCTCTCCCCCGCCGCTAACCTCCCCATATTTGTCCGCTGCTGAGGCGAGTTTCGTTTCTCACTGCACTCTTCACCCTTGCGATCAAGTAAACTGAAATCACAAACCCAAACCCTCTTATCCATCTCCAAAGCATCCTCTTTTCTCTTCACCAATTCCCAGCCTTTACTAGGCGACAAATTCATCCTCCTGTTTTTCCGTTTTTCTTTCTCTTCTTCTTCTGCCCCTGTGTCCTTCCCCCCTCCTCTCATTTTCTGGAAATTAGCTTTAACAAATCTCCATCCCCCTCCCTCCACCCCTCACCCTCCCCCCTCCCCACTTCTCCCCTTCCCCCCACTTCCAATTCAATCCAGACGGCAGCTTCATTCCCCCGACCGTCTACGCCATATTTGGCACATCGCGCCACATGGCCATAGCACCAGTCGCCATCGTCTCGCTCCTCATGGGAGAGCTCCTCTCCACCCATTACAACCCCGAGTCCCAGCCCTCCCAGTACCTCCGCCTCGCCTTCACCTCCACCTTCTTCGCGGGGGTGTTTCAGCTGGCCATGGGGCTGCTGCGCCTGGGGTTTGTGGTGGATCTGCTGTGCCACCCGGTGGTTGTGGGGTTCATGGGGGGAGCGGCGGTGACGATCGGGCTGCAGCAGCTCAAGGGGCTGCTGGGGTATGCGACGTTCACCACGAAAGCGAACGTGCAGTCGGTGTTGGGCTATGTGTTCAGCAACACGTATCTGGTGAGTCTGGCACACCTGGTGAGTCTAACACACCTGGTGAGTCTGGCACACCTGGTGAGTCTAACACACCTGGTGAGTCTGGCACACCTAGTGAGTTTGGCACACCTAGTGAGTCTGGCACACCTAGTGAGTCTGGCACACCTAGTGAGTCTGGCACACCTAGTGAGTCTAGCACACCTAGTGAGTCCGGCACACCTGGTGAGTAAGGCGCACTTGGTGAGTCCGGCACACCTGGTGAGTCCCGCACACCTGGTGAGTCTGGCACACCTGGTGAGTCGGGCACACCTGGTGAGTCGGGCACACCTGGTGAGTCGGGCACACCTCGTGAGTCGGGCACACCTGGTGAGTCGGGCACACCTGGTGAGTCGGGCACACCTGGTGAGTCGGGCACACCTGGTGAGTCCGGCACACCTGGTGAGTCGGGCACACCTGGTGAGTCGGGCACACCTGGTGAGTCTAACACACCTGGTGAGTCGGGCACACCTGGTGAGTCTGGCACACCTGGTGAGGCGGGCACACCTGGTGAGTCTGGCACATCTGGTGAGTCCGGCACACCTGGTGAGTCTTACACACCTGGTGAGTCTGGCACACCTGGTGAGTCGGGCACACCTGGTGAGTCGGGCACACCTGTGAGTCTGGCACACCTGGTGAGGCGGGCGCACCTGGTGAGTCGGGCACACCTGGTGAGTCAGGCACACCTGGTGAGTCGGGCACACCTAGTGAGTCAGGCGCACCTGGTGAGTTGGGCACACCTGGTGAGTCTAACACACCTGGTGAGTCGGGCACACCTGGTGAGTCAGGCACACCTGGTGAGTCGGGCACACCTGGTGAGTCGGGCACACCTGGTGAGTCGGGCACACCTGGTGAGTCGGGCACACCTGGTGAGTTGGGCACACCTGGTGAGTCGGGCACACCTGGTGAGTCGGGCACACCTGGTGAGTCCGGCACACCTGGTGAGTCTAACACACCTGGTGAGTCTGGCACACCTGGTGAGTTAGGATATTTGGTGAGTCTGTCAAGTCTGGTGCTAGGATAACAAGTGCCTCCATTCCCCTCCCCTCCCCTCCCCTCCGCTCCCATTCCTTTCCCTCCCTCTCCTCCTTGCACAGTTCGACTGGCGTGCATTTGTCATTGGCATGGCGGTGCTTCTCTTCCTCCTCTCGCTCCGCTTCCTGGTACGCCCCGCCTTTTTTATTTGAGCAGCCTTCCAACATTCCCATCCTATCCCATCCCATCCCATCCCATTCCATCCCATCCCCTTCCCTCCTTGCCCTCTGTGTATGATACTCCCATCCCTTTCCCTCCTTGCCCTCTGTGTATGATACTCCCATCCCTTTCCCTCCTCGCCCTCTGTGTGTAATACTCCCATCCCTTTCCCTCCTCGCACTCTGTGTGTGATACCCTCATCCACTTTCCTCCTCGCTTCTGCATGCACAGACCCACCATTTCAAGCCCCACCCTAGGCTCGTCAAGCCGATCTTCTACCTCAACTGCCCACCAAAACACCAAAACTCCCTCTTCCCATGTTCAATACTCCTCATCCATCCATCCCGTCCCCACACATGCATGCGCAGGCACACCATTTCAAGCCCCACCCCAGGCTCGGCAAGCCACTCTTCTACCTCAACTGCCTCGGCCCAATCCTCGCAGTCACCGCCACCTCCCTCGCCGTCTACCTTCTGGGCGGCGGCAACAAACCCCCCTACAACATCCCCACCGTCAAGCCCCTGCCAGCTGGCGTCGCCTCGTTCGGCTCGCTGACTCAGCTCCAGCTGTCGGGCCCTGATTGCGCGGCTGCTGCTTCCATAGGGATTGTTGCGGCGCTGATCGCTTTAGCGGAAGCGACTGCGATCGCTAGAATGTTTGCGACTTTGGAGGGTTACGAGGTGGATGGTAACCGCGAGATGATCGCTCTCGGCATGGCGAATATCGGAGGCTCCTTCTCCTCGACCTACGTGGTTACTGGGTCGTTCTCGCGGTCCGCTGTCAACTACAATTCCGGCGGGAAAACCGCGCTGACCAACGTGATTATGTCGGTGCTCGTTTTAGTCACGCTCGTTGCGGTCACGCCCGCGTTTCAGTACCTCCCTACAGCCACCCTCTCTGCAATCATCATCGTTGCTGTCGCTGGATTGGTGGATTTTACAGCCATGGCTCTCATCCTTAAAACCGACAAAGTTGATTTTCTCATCACTCTAGGAACCGCCTTGGGTATTCTCTTTGTCTCCATGGAAATCGGACTCCTTATAGGCGTCCTCGTTTCAATGCTGAAGTTCTTTGTGCAGGTTGCTCGCCCAAAGCTGCCGACCCTGGGGCTCATTACGGGTACAGGGGTGTACGGAAGTGTGGAGCAGTATCCCGAAGCAGAAGTGGAGGAGGGGGTGTGGGTGGTGAGGGTGGATGGACCGCTGCTCTTCCCCAGTGCAAGCTATGTGCGGCAGCGGGTGTTGAGAGCGGTGGAGAGGAGTGCGCGAGGCGACAAGAAGAGAATCATGGTGAGTGGGGAGTGTGTGTGTGTGTGTTTTGCATTTGTTTTATGGGGGCATGAGCGCATGGGGGTATGGGGGCATGCGACATGTGGGCATGAGGGCATGGGGGCAGGTGTGATTCAGGGGGAGCTGAAGGTGGTGCCGTGGATTTAAGGATATGATTTCAAGACCTCGCAAAGGCGGCTCACAATTAGATGCCTCACAGATCGGGGATGTGGGTAGTGCGGGTGGGGATACCGCTACTCTCACACAACAGTCCACATTCAAAATTCCCTTTGGCACACGTGTAAGTGGCACACAAGCAACCAGAACACGAGTAAACGCCATTCACACAAAAGCGATGACCTTAGAGTCAAAATCTAAGTCTCCTTCCTTTTTATTCTCGCCTCTTCCCCATTCGCATCCCTCTTTCCCTGCCTCACGGCAGCATGTGGTGTTGGATTGCACGTCAGTAACTGACATTGACACAACAGCCATCCACGCCCTACAAGACCTCCTCAACCTCTTACATCGCCACCAGGTGCAGCTAGTGCTGACCAATCCAGCCACAGTGGTTCTAAGAAAGCTGGCTCTCTCGGGGTTTATTGAGGAGTTGGGTGACGAGTGGCTGTTTCTCTCTGCTGCAGATGCAGTGGCATTTTGCCAGTCGGTTGCGAAGAGCGACGGGGTGTAGTGAAAGTTACATATATCGTATGTTTTTTCCCATGCATTGAAATGAAAGAAAGCTGGCTTTATTCTTATCCGTACCATGTGCTAGCACGGTGTTGAGCATGTGGCAATTTACATTTTTTGCCCTGGTGGCCTCACTGCGTCCCACAAACGGACCTTGAACCTTCAATAAACAGCCTCCTTATGCAAGTGTTCAGAGAGAAAGTCAAAGAAAGGACCCATGCAGTTTAACGCCTCTGCTGCTTCTGCTTCCATGCCACTGTGCCACACCCCTATTGTCAACTGCTGCCGGTCCCCGACTGGGCTTCATCCCAGGGGCCTTTAATGAATTGCTTTTCCTTGTGCATGAACACAAAGAAAGAGCAAATGGATGGGATGACCCTTGAGGTAAATCAGTGAATAAACTGCTGCTGCTTCCGCAATGCCTCCTTCAATCAACTGCTGCTGGTCCCCGGCTGGGCTTCATCCCAGGGGCCTTTAATGAAATGCTTTTCCTCGGTTATGCATGAATGTACACAAGCTAGGAAGTACTGTTGCTTGTTCCCGCCGTTCCTACAAAATGTGCTGCTTCCATGCAACAGTGCCTCCATCAACTGCTGCTGGTCCCCGGCTGGGCTTCATCCCACGGTCCTTTGATAAACTGCTTCTCCTTGTGCATGTACACAAAGAGAAGCACCTAGGAATGAAGCTATGCTGCCTGTTCCCCTCCTTGATAAGAACCTCAGCTGCTGCAGCTTTTTCCATGAAACGATCCCTCTGTCAATTGCTGCTGGTCCCTGGTGGGGCTTCATCCCACAGTCCTTTAATAAACTGCTTCTCCTTGTGCATGTACACAAAGAGAACCGAGGAAGACTAATGCCTCTATCAGCTGCTGCTTGTCCCTGGTTGCGCTTCATCCCAGGGTCCCTTGATGAACTGCTTTTCCTTGTGCATGTACACAAAGAGCGGAACCGAGGAAGGTTAATGCCTCTTTCAACTGCTGCTGGTCCCCGGTTGGGCTTCATCCCACGGTCCCTTGATGAACTGCTTTTCCTTGTGCATGTACACAAAGAGAAGCGGGAACACGTAGGTTACCGCTGCCGCCGCCACCACCACCACCACGGCAAACCCCTTATGCCACGCCATCAGCACCGCCAGAGCCACCGCTTTCATCCCCCATACAAGCACGCGGTGCGTTTGCGGATTAGCGCGCCGCCAGTGGTGCAGCAACGACGGCAGCAGGCTGAAAACGCTAAGTGCCAGCCACATGAACGCGTATACTTGCGCAGTGGTGCTAAGCCGAGAAGCCAGCAGCACAGATGCGTAAATCGCAGACATTAACGATAAATTCCCGGAAAAGGAGAGTGTAGCTGCTGTAGAGTAGTTATAATCGTGGAAGAAGAGGTGTAGGAGGAAGAGGAGGGTGGTACAGGAGGCAACAGTGTCAGAGCTTATAGACTGAGTGAGAGTGTGGAGGATGGGGGAGAGGAGGTAGAGACCAAAAACAAAGATGGAACAATCGACGATCAAGCGAGGGAGGCGAGAGGCAGAGAGGAGATCGAGGAGGGTGGGAGGTGGGAGGGACAGGGATGGGGAAGGGGGAGTGGAGGAGGGAGGAGGGGTGGACTGTGGTGCAGATGCGTGCGGTTGCTGCTGCTGCTGTTGCTGCTGCCCCTTCAAGTGGTGCTGCAGGCGTTTGTGTCGCTGTAAGCGAAGGGAGGCGAGGGAGGAGAGCAGCACACCGGCAGCGAGGGAGAGCGAGTCGAGCAGGAAGAGAGTGCGGGCAGAGAGGCGGTGCGAGTCGAGGAAGAAATAGACGACCACCAGGGCTGATACGAGGAACATCTGAGAATGGGAGGGAGGAGGGAGAGGGAAAAGGAGGTGGGAGGGGGGGCGGGGGGGGGGGGGTTAGAGGGTATGTGTGATGGGAGAGCGAGTCGAGCGGGAAGAGCGTGCGGGCAGAGAGACGATGCGACTCGAGGAAGAAATAGACGACCACCAGGGCGGATACTAGGAACATCTGAGATGGGACGGGAGGAGGGGTGCAGAGCATGCATCATGTGTGAGTGATGGACTGGGAGGAAGAGCGTTCGGGCGGAGAGACGGTGTGATTCGAGGAAGAAATAGACGACCACCAGGGCTGATACTAGGAACATCTGGAAACAGAGGGAGCAGGAGAGGACACAAACATGTGCACTATGTGAGGTGGAATGGAACAGGGTAAGAGAACGAGGGCGGAGAGGCGATGCGAGTCGAGGAAGAAATAGACGACCACCAGGGCTGATACGAGGAACATCTGGGGATGAGAGGAGGAATGGGGAGGGAAATGGGAGGAACAGGTGAGAATGGGGGGAACATTCCTCCTTTCAGCTGCTGCTGCTGCTTCATCTGCTCCCCCTTCAAGTGCTGCCGCAGGCGTTTGTGTCGCTGTAAGCGCAGGGAGGCGAGGGAGGAGAGCAGCACACCGGCAGCGAGGGAGAGCGAGTCGAGCAGGAAGAGAGTGCGGGCGGAGAGGCGGTGGGAATCCAGGAAGAAATAGACGACCATCAGGGCAGATACGAGGAACATCTGAGAATGGGAGGAGGGATGGGCGGGAAATGGGAGGAGCATGTGAGAATGGGAAGACCATTTCCCCTTGGTGTGTGGCGCTGCAGGTGCAGGGAGGCGAGGGAGGAGAGCAGCACACCGGCAGCGAGGGAGAGCGAGTCGAGCAGGAAGAGAGTGCGGGCAGAGAGACGGTGCGAGTCGAGGAAGAAATAGACGACCACCAGGGCTGATACTAGGAACATCTGGGAATTGGATGGAGGCGGGAGGCGAGAAAGGAGGGGGGGTGGTGTGGGTGGAGGGCAGTGGGTATGTGTAATGTGAGAGTGAATCGCGCAGGAAGAGCGTCCGAGTGGAGAGGCGATGCGAGTCGAGGAAGAAATAGACGACGACTAGGGCTGATACGAGGAACGTCTGGGAATCGGATGGAGGCGGGAGGCGAGAAAGGAGGGGGGGTGGTGTGGGTGGAAGACAGTGGGTATGTGTAATGTGCGAGTGAATCGAGCAGGAAGAGCGTCCGAGTGGAGAGGCGATGCGAGTCGAGGAAGAAATAGACGACGACTAGGGCTGATACGAGGAACGTCTGGGAATCGGATGGAGGCGGGAGGCGAGAAAGGAGGGGGGGTGGTGTGGGTGGAAGACAGTGGGTATGTGTAATGTGCGAGTGAATCGAGCAGGAAGAGCGTCCGAGTGGAGAGGCGATGCGAGTCGAGGAAGACATAGACGACCGTGAGGGCGGAGACGAGGAGCATCTGGGGACAGGGGGTGGGGGAGAGGGGTAACAAGCGAATATGTGAGCGATGTTGCTGGTCAAAGGAAGGGAAGAAAACTTACGACCCACCAGGGCGGAGATGAGAAACATATGGGAAGGGGGGATTGGGGAGCATATGAACATGTGTGATACGTGAGGTGGACGAGGAGGAAAACAGCACGGGCGGAGAGGTGGTGCGAGTCAAAGAAGGGGTAGACATGCTTGGGTGGCGGCGACCAGGATCGGCGACCAGGGCGGAGAGGAGGGAGGAACATGGGAGGACAACAGAAACAGAAAACTGGGAGGAGAGCAGACCATGGGGAACGGAAACAGCACGAGGAAAGTTTTGAGTCGACTCAAAACTAGACCAGACCATGGCGAACGGAAACAGCACGAGGAAACATGTCCCCGTGCGGACAAGAGCACGGGTTAGAGAGGCGGTGAGAGTTCTGAAAGCTACTTGCGGCGGTGAGAGTTCTGAAAGCTACATGGGCACTGGGGCACAGCGTAGGGTAGGGGCGCAGATGAGGTGACTTTTGAGTCGACTCGAAACTCACCTCGCTACATGGGCACTGGGGCACAGCATAGGGTAGGGGCGCAGATGAGGAATATTTGGGGACAGAGGGGTGGGAGGGGATGCAACGGACGAGAGAGACGACGAGCAGGGCGGAAGGAGGAACATGTGAGAGTGGGAGCGAGGGGAAAGGAAGGGGTGGAAGGAGGTGTGGTGTGGAACACACGTCCGATCGTGAGGGGGAGGAAGTGAGCGCAGGAATAGGGGGAGGGGGAACGGGGAAGGGGGTACCTTCCGATGCGGTGATAGGACCTTCCGATGCTGTGGCGTCGCCGATTGCGGCACCATCTGCGTCGCCACTGGCGGCGGCGTCGGTCGCGGGGCTCGTTGCGTCTGCGGAGGCGTTTGCGGCGGCGTCAGTTGCGGAAGCATTCGCGACGCGACCAGAACCGCGGATTGAGGTGGGATCTAAGGGAGGTAGATCTGCCGACATCTCCTTGAGATTGATTATCGAGGCGGCATTACTATCTGATCGGAGGGACGCTATTGCGGGAGAGGTGGCATTTGTTGGATTTATCCTATCAGCTTCGGACATCCTGTGGCACTTACGCCGAGCCTGCGCTGCAGGCTCGTTATCAGACGGGGTTTGGCGGAACCTCGCGTGTCTGCCGAACCTCCGGCGCTTCTTTCTGAGGCTTCAGAAGAGAAACAAGGGAGATCCGTGTTCGCCGCCTGACAAACCTAGAGGGAATGCTTCGAATTGCGATACTTCGCCTAGTTAACAGTATGGCGGCATTGCATCGCGCCGCGTCGAAACAAGAGTTTGATCTCGCAAACTGTTTCTGGAGTCCAGCTGAGGCTGGTCGGAATAATGGGAGAGCAACAGCTTCTCTCCCCATACCTTATGGACTAGCGGCGGTGTGTGCTCCTTCAACGGGTTACTGCTTTCTTCTAAGACACTACGAAGGGGTCGTCCCAACGCGGTTGGGAACGATGCTTTGTCTGACAGAGCCCTTTCTGTACAATATAACACGGTTGGGTAGGGTTCGCGAAATTAGTGCTCTCAACAACATGGCCTTTTCCCAAAAGAAATTCACGGCCTCAAGGTCGTGCACGCTAGCTTGTAACGAGGGCTGCATACAACGAGCCAGTAGGAGGATGGGTCTGCTCCATCTCCGCTGGAGACTGCGCCGTTTTGAGAAATAATTTACCATAACGAAATGCAGCACATGTGTGCTACTACGCACACTCGCTGCTCGCATGCTTTTGTGGTGGGCTGATCTGTTACTAGCACAACAGCATGATCACACGCTTTTACACGGTGTGGGCATTTACTATTTCATATTTTGCGGTGCACAGATCATCTACCGTACTATCACATCAGCACAATGATACAAGCACATGCTTTTGCAGTGCACAGCAGCAGGCCCCTCTCATTGTACTCAGCCCGTGTGACATGCTGGTTCCGAGAGAACGCTATGCGAGCCATTGCTGGAGACAAGCTCCTTAGGAATTGCAATGAATCACACCAGTTGCAGATCACTTACAATCACATCAGTGCAATCACATCACTACAGTCACATCACATGCTCTTGCGGTGCACAGCGGAAGGCCCCCTCTCATTGTACTCTGCGCGGGTGACATGCTGGTTCTGAGAGAACACAATGCGCGCCACTATGGCCCCACCGTACCACGAGGCGTAGCGGGCGGTGTTGTCCGGCATGTAGTCAGGTGCCTGAAGGTTCAGGTGAGCAACAAGGGAAGAGGTCATGAAAAGCGAAGTCTGAGTGCCAGTGAGTTACAGCGGAGAAAAAAAAGGCTCGAAGAAATGAAGCTGAATGATTGGTGGAACGAAGTTGAGAGTTAGAGCTGGAGTGGACATGGGGTTAATATGGAAGGTCCTATGGGGTTCTACAACTACGTAGGATGGTTCTTGTGGTGACTTTTGAGTCGACTCAAAAGTCACCTCGTTACAATGGCACACGACACCTTTTGAATCGACTCAAAAGTCACCTATGGGATTCCACAACTACAGAGGATGGTTCTTGTGGTGACAAACACATGTGTGCATCCCCCTTTAATACATGTGTGGTTACAAGCCGCATATGTACCACATCGCTCTGCCGCACATCCCCCTTGGCAAAGTGATTGAGACAGTGCATTGCACTCAACATTGCAGACCGATGTTGCCTCTACACATCAGACTAAAAGCTACTCAATCGACTTTAAGTCAACTAATAAGTCACTTCACATTGAAGTCAAATATTGCTTCTCGATACCCCACTAGAATTCTCACTCCACTCTACCACCCACTCCCCACTCACTCACCCGCACAGACACTGCCATCCGGGCGTCACTCTAAAACCGAGCCACCAACCCTTTCAGACACGACCCTCCCCCCACCACTACAATGGACTCCCTCACCCCACCCACTCACACACCCACTCACTCACTCACCTACCCACTCACTGCCCCTCACCCTCCACCGACCCACTCACTCACCCACTCAATGCCCCTCACCCTCTCCTCACCCCACTCACCCGCACGACGGTGGGTTGCAGGGAGGGAGACACTGCCGTCTGCACTTCACTCTGAAACCGATCCACCAACCCCTTGAGGCACGACCCTCCCCCCACCACCGCAATGGACTCCAAGGCTGCCCGCTGCTTCCCCCCTTCCACCCCCATCCCTCCCCCCCCCAGCCCTCCTCCCCCGCCCACCCCCCCCATCCCTCCTCCTACCCCTCCTCCTCCGCCTCCTCCTCCCCCTCCCCCTCCTAGCCCTGCTGCGTCGAACACCACACTCAGAAGCTGCCGAACGATGCCGGCCGAGTCGGGACCGGCCAATGGGGAGGCCTCGAGGGAGGGCGGTGAGAGAAGCGAGTTGTGGGCGAGGAGGGAGGGTCTGAAGAGGGCCTCTGCAACCTCAAGTCGTTCACTGCCGAGAGAGATGCGCTGCAATGGGAGGGGAGGTTGAGAAGAAGGGGGCCAAGAATGAACGGCATGTGGCGAGTCAAAGAAGCGAGTTGTGGGCGAGGAGGGAGGGTCTGAAGAGGGCCTCTGCAACCTCAAGTCGTTCACTGCCGAGAGAGATGCGCTGCAATGGGAGGGGAGGTTGAGAAGAAGGGGGCCAAGAATGAACGGCATGTGGCGAGTCAAAGAAGCGAGTTGTGGGCGAGGAGGGAGGGTCTGAAGAGGGCCTCTGCAACCTCAAGTCGTTCACTGCCGAGAGAGATGCGCTGCAATGGGAGGGGAGGTTGAGAAGAAGGGGGCCAAGAATGAACGGCATGTGGCGAGTCAAAGAAGCGAGTTGTGGGCGAGGAGGGAGGGTCTGAAGAGGGCCTCTGCAACCTCAAGTCGTTCACTGCCGAGAGAGATGCGCTGCAATGGGAGGGGAGGTTGAGAAGAAGGGGGCCAAGAATGAACGGCATGTGGCGAGTCAAAGAAGCGAGTTGTGGGCGAGGAGGGAGGGTCTGAAGAGGGCCTCTGCAACCTCAAGTCGTTCACAGCCGAGAGAGATGCGCTGCAATGAAAGGGGGGGTGAGAACGAGGTAGCCAAGAAGGAAGGAAATGCGGCGAGTCAAAGAGGTGAGTTGTGGGTGAGGAGGGAGGGTCGGAAGAGAGCCTCTGCAACTTCGAATCGTTCACTGCCGAGAGAGATGCGCTGCAATGGGGAACGGGAGGGGTGGGAATATGAGAAGTCCATGGGCGGAATGGGGTAACTGTGTGGATGAGAACCATTGCAGTACTCAGTCTTTTACTGCAAAGGAGGATGTGCTGAATGGGGGGCAAAGAGGGGCCCACGAGGCGGAGCGGAGGGGGACTGAGGGGGAAGAGAGGGGCCAAGATGTAAGGAGGGGAAAAATACGGGAGGGGATAAATACGGGAGGGATCAGAGTGAGCGAGGCGAGTGGATGAGAGGTGAGGTGTGAGGAGGGATGGGTTGTAGGATGGGTGGGAGGATGGGTGGGAGGATGGGTGGGGGGATGGGTGGGAGGATGGGTGGGAGGATGGGTGGGGGGATGGGTGGGAGGATGGGTGGGAGGATGGGTGGGAGGATGGGTGGGAGGATGGGTGGGGGGGATGGACTTCAGTAACACCAGGAAGTTCAAGAAGGTGTATATAAGAGTTTCTCCAATGCTTAAACTTCGCTCCAAAAAGAACATAGCCCTGTCCACAAATAAGATGAACTGACCTGCCCGTCGGGCAGCACAAATTCCTTCCTCTCGTCCGCAGCCCGGGCAGCTGCAAAACTATTATCGTCCAAAGCCACCTCACAAGCTTCCTCCTTCAGCCTTTCCAACGTAGCAGCGTCCAATGAGAGACTGCCACGTGTCAGTGTATCCCTCTCCACTTCCCCTCCTTGGCCAGCTCCCCCCCCACTCTGCCTCTCGTCAAATACTAGCCGTTGGATTCGCTCCGAAAGATCGCAGCCGCCAATTGGCCAACGGCGAGCAGAGGAGGGGATCAACGCCCCTTCCTGCACGACAGAGAAATCTGGAGAGGTGGGAGAAAATGAAAGCATGGAACAAGAAGGGGGGGGAACAGGAAAAAGAATCCGATAAAGCGTAGTGTGGAAAGGGAAAGAGAACGGTGAGGCTAAGAAAGGAAGGAAAAAAAAGAGAAGCAAGAAGGGAGAAAAACGAGGAGGAAATTCCCAATTTTGAAGCGTTACAGCGCAGTTATCTCGTCACAAGGCATTCATCCCCGTTATAAGGCCCTGCATCATCCCCCTCTGACATGTTTTTCCCTGGCCCAGGTCGACACAGCAGCCTGAGAGGCGGCCGAGAGCATAGAGCGCCAGCACTGGCTGCTCTGCTGTACCAACAACCTCTTTAAAGTCAGTCACCCCCGTTATAAGGCCAATCTTCCCCGTTATAAGGCGTCTCCTCTGACCTGTTCGCCCATGGCATAGGAGGGCTCCTCGCGCAGCAGCCTGAGGGGCGCCCAAGGGCATAGAGGGCCCTACGGAAGTGATCTACGTTATAAGGCATCCCCGCATCCCTGCTGACCTGTCTTGCCATGGCCCAGGTCGACACAGCAGCCGGAGAGGCGGCCGAGGGCATAGAGCGCCAGCACTGGCTGCTCCTTTGCGAAGAAACTCGTTTTAAGTCAGTCATCACCATTACAAGGCCAATCGCCACTTATAATTTATCTCCTCTGACCTGTTTTGCCATGGCCTAGGTCCACACAGCAGCCGGAGAGGCGGCCGAGCGCATAGAGTGCCAGCACTGGCTGCTCCGCTGCGAAGAAACCCGAACAGCTGAAGGACTCAAAGAGGACCTGCGCTGCTTGCTCCCTGTCCGCCTGACAGGAGAGGGAGTGAGAGAAAATGGGAGAGAAGGGTGCGGAGGAAGGGGACTGGGGAAAATCGATGGCTGCTCTGCTCTGCTGTAAAGATGCCTGACCAGCTGAACAACTCAAAAAGGATCTGCGCTGCACTGCTTGCTCCCCGTCCGCCTGGAAGGAGAGAATGAAAAGCGGCTGGAAAGGAGCGGGAAAGGAACGGGAGGAGGATGGCTCTGCAAAGAAGCCTTAAAAGAGAATGGGCGTGTGCTGCTGCTTGCTCCCTGTCGGCCTGATGCATGCGAGAATGGGAGGGAGGAAGAATACGTGAGAATGATGTGGGACAGGACGAGAGACACAAGTAGGGGGAAGGAGGAGGGGAACGGCCAAGCGGGAGATAGGAGAGGAGAGGGGGGGAGAGAAAGAGATGGAGGAGGAAGGACAACGGAGCGAAAAGAGGGACCTTTTGAGGCAGCTGAAGGGAAAAACATCTCACTCGGAAGTGTGACCCGCCCTTGTTGTGAGAAAGGCGAGTGGTGAGGCGAGACGCCTCTTGGAATGCGTTTCGAGATGCCTGAGAACTATATCCCACACACAAGAGCGATTCACTCCGGGAGTGAGAATGGGCTGAGAGAGCAACACGAGTTGACTTTTGAGTCGACTCAAAAGTCAACCCCACACAAAAGAATGAATCACTCCGAAAGTGAGAAAGGGCCCGCGCAGCAGCACGGCCCCTTCACCGCCCTCCTCCCACCCCATCTGTTCATACAGCATGTATCGCCATGCATCCTCCATCACCCCCCACTCCACCACCCGCCCCTGCTCCGCGCCCACCCACCACCACTCGCAACGTTCCATTCCATCCCCTCACGCCACCCACCCACTACCCTCCCTTGCTCCGCGCCCACCACCACTCGCCTTCGCTCCAACCCCCCCTCACACACCCTAGCTCCACCCCCCCACCTACCCACAACCCTGCCAGTGCCTCGAATGTGCTAACCCTAATGTTACAATATCCCATACACAAGCAAAACTCACTCTTGGGGTAAGAATGGGCTCGCACAGCAGCACGGCCCCTTCACCGCCCTCCTCCCACCCCATCTGTTCGTACAGCATGTATCGCCATGCATCCTCCATCACCCCCCAGTCTACTACCCGCCCTCGCTCTACGCCCCCCACCACGCGCCCTGCTGCTGCCCCGGATTCGTTAATGCTGGCCCCGTTACTGGCTGGGCGCTCTCCTGGTGCTTCCACGAAGCGATTTGGGATTATCTGAAGCATAGATAGATAGAGATACGCAGAGGCATACAAGGGCGCACAGAAGCATAGAGAGGCATACAGAGGCATACAAAGGCACATAGAGGTGCATAGAGACACACAAGAGAGCTTTTAAAATTAACCCATCCAGCCTGAAAGGCACGTCCCTGACCCACAATTACCATCAACCCTGCTGAGTTGCATTGCAATTCAAATTGTTCAGTTTCAACTCTCAAGGTGCACTCACCACAAGGGGTTCGACATTAGGGTTGGCAAGTCAGAACCTTTCTGGATTGAGATCATGTACCAAGATGCTGCACTCACCACAGCAGGGGGATCGGTGTCATGTCAGAGTTGACGTAGCGTAGGCAGCCCTTGAACGCGTGTGACGTGACCCGCAAATCATGCCCAGCCAGCCCATTCGAGCCATTCGTTTCGACTGCAATCCTCAAGATGCGCTCACGCTCACCACAGGGGGGTCAACGTCAGGGTTGCGTAGCGTAGGCAGCCCTTGAAACGTGCCTAACTCGAAATCCATGCCCATTCGAGCCACTAGCTCCGGCCTCAATCCTCAAGACGCACTCACCACAGGAGGATCGGCATAAAAATTGTCGACACCTGTGATTTTTTATTTTCCATGCGTCGGGGTTGGCGTAGCCAGCCTTGAACGTGCCTGACCCGCAATCCATGGCAACGGGATGATCGAAATCCATTGTTCTCTATCTCCAGTCAAATCATGCCCCTCAAGATGCAGCAGGCACTCACCACAGGGGGGTCCGCATCAGGGTTGGCGTAGCCAGCCTTGAACGTGCCTGACCCGCAATCCATGACAACGGGATCCATCGCTCGCAATCTCCTGTCAGTATAAAGCTCGTCCTGGGTCAAACGACGTCAGCACCCGCCAGACCACGTCAGTACCACGTCCGATGACGTCGGATTCTGTCAGGTCACGTCAGCGTTGCCCGAATCGAGTTGGTCACATGTCTACCAAAGATCAACTGGCCGTTCTGACCGTTCTGGTATTCCCAAGGCAGCTCAGGTGCCGCTGAAGTGGGTGACGAGCGAATATTGGCGATCAGTGCTCAGCATATGCTCCGCTAATCCTGACTGGGGCTCGGTGCGAATGTTTCGGCTCTAGAGATGACTAATTCGCGAAGTATTAATCCTACTTGCGGCCGCAGATACTGAGACGGATTTTGCTGGGGAGCTGACGAAGTAAACGGCACCGTTTAACGAGTGCATAAAAAATCAGACGCTTTGGCAGGAAACTTGTCAGCTTGTGTGAGAGTCGTCCTCGGATCCAATGCGTGCCGCACCGCAGTCCCTTATTTGTTTCTCTCTCAGGCCCTCGAGACTGGTTCTTCTGGCTGTAAGTCAGCTCTGGTCAGTCTTCAGTTCCCCTACTCCTGGCTGCTAGTTCTCGGCTAGCTTGTGAGCAAACGCGATCACTGCACGTGTTATAAGTTGTGAAAGGAAAGAGTGCGCAGAACTCAATAATGCGGAAGTGATTACAACGTCTGAATGAACAACGAGGCCTAGGCACAATATAGCAAGGCTCGCTAGGCCGAGGTCGCGGGGTCGCGCGATGGTTGGGTGCAGGTTCGGGGTTGGAAAACCCGAAAGCGACGCGGTGGTGGCTCGGAAGGCGAGGTCGGCGGGCCGAGCCTGGTTTTCCGAAAGTCGGGGTTGTACGCGTACAGTGTGACCCAGTAAGGAATCCGGAAAATTCCTTACACTACCCCCCCCTTTAAGAAAGGTGGTGAATATCCGAAACACCTCGGCGGGCCAGGTAAGCGTCCAAAACCGGGTGTCCCAGTAGCGAATCAGCAGCGACATACGTGTCGTCCTCGCTCGTGCGGTCTTTCCAGCGAAGCAGGAATTTCACCGAGCGGCCGGCGGCAGTCACATCCACGCGATGGTTAAGAATCTTCCAAAGTTCCAGCGTTGGCTCTGCCACGGGGCGAGTGGTCGGTGCGATGGTTGGTCGAGCAACAGCTGGCGACTGCGGCTGTTCGTAATGACGCAACAGGCTGACGTGGAAAGCGTCATGGATTTTCCAATCGTCGGGCAGCAGCAGCTTCGCGGTGACAGGTGTCACCATCTGGATGATACGGAATGGTCCCACGTATCGGGGCCGTAATTTCGCGGGCTGCGGCAGCCGAAGGTTCTTGGTGTCCAGAAGCACAACCTGCCCTGTGCGGAAGGGTAAATTTCGTCGGTGTTTATCCGCCTGGCGACTGGCCGTGGTATTAGCCTTGCGAATGAAATCGGCTGCTTTCGTTCGGGCGGTTTGCAGTTCCGTGACAAACTGCTGCGATCTTGGTACCGGGTTGTCCACAGTCGTTGAAGAGGGTACCACGGGGTCTATCCCGTAATTCAGGAAGAAGGGTGATTGTTTAGTCGTGGCCGACGGGGCGTTGTTGTACGCGAATTCCAGCATTGGCAGCGAATCTTCCCACTTGCGAATGTCGGGGCAGTTGGTGCGAATCAGCTGTTCCATGGTCTGATTTGTCCGTTCCGTCTGTCCGTCGGTTTGCGGGTGGTATGACGACGAAAACTGCAGGCGGGTACCGTACTGTGCCCACGTTTCCTGCCAGAACTTTGACGTAAATTTCGGATCACGATCGCTGATGATCGCCGAAGGTAACCCGTGTAGGCGTACGACGGTGGAGATGAACAGTTTGGCTGTATCTTCGGCTGTGATCGTCGTTCGGCATGGGGCGAAATGCGCCATCTTCGTTAGGCGATCGACGACGACCAACACCGAGTCGTTGCCACTCGTGCCAGCTGGGAGCCCCGTGACGAAATCCATCGTCACCTGTTGCCACGGTCGTTCGGGTGGCGCGAGGGGTTGCAGCAGTCCGGCTGGCCTTTGTCGCGACGACTTCATGGCTTGGCAGGCCGGGCAAGTTGACACGTAGCGCTGCACATCGGTGTGCATGTCCGGCCAGTAATAATTCCGCTGCAGCAGCTTCAGTGTCTTGTCGGTGCCGAAATGCCTGGAGAGGTTGGAGTCGTGAACCTCCTGCGTCAGCAGCTCCCGCAAAGGCTGGTATGCTGGTACCCAAATCCGGTTCGTATCGGTTTTTAGGTAGTATTTGCCGTGCGGTGTAGCAGCCTGTTGTTGCGGGTTCCGAAAAAACCTGTCGATCTTGTAGCCGTGGGTGAATAGTCCTGTTAGCATCGGGTTGGTGTGGGCGATTAGTACCGCCGCGTTTTGCATGGATGGTCGGGTAAGGGCGTCGGCGATGTTGTTGGCGCCCTTTTTGTACGTGATGGTGTACCGGAAATTGGATTCGAGGAAGTCCAACCACCGGATTTGTCGCGGGTTGAGTGTCGGTTGCGTGCGCATGTACTGTAGCGATTTATGGTCGGTCCGAATCGTCACGTCGGCTCCTGTGAGGTAGCAGCGCCAGACGCGAAATGCATGGACGATGGCCAGCATTTCTTTGTCAAGGACTGGGTAGTTGCGCTCAGGTGGCTGCATCTTGCGTGACTCGTAGGCGATGGGTTGCAGCCCTTGGCCGAAAATCTGTAGCAGGACGGCGCCGACGGCGAAATCGCTGGCGTCCGTGACGACTTCGAACGGTCGAGATGGATCGGCGAGGCGGAGTACCGGGGGTGAACCCAAAATGTTTTTGAGGGCGTCGAAGGCGGATTGATCCCTCTCCCCCCACCTGAAATCACTGTCGTGGTGCAGCAGGTCGGTCAGCGGCTTGGTTATCCCTGCCATATTGGGTACAAAACGACGAACGTAGTTAACAAACCCCAGAAAACTTTGCAACTCAGGGATATTAGTAGGCGGCTTCCGCTTAACGATGGCGTCCACCTTACGCGGGTCGATTTTAATCCCTTCGCCAGAAACCACATGCCCCAAAAACTCTAATTCCGGCTTCAGGAACTCACACTTAGACCCCTTTGTAATTAGCCGATGCCCCGGTAAACGCCGGAACACCTCCTCTAAATCCCGCAGATGGTCCTCTTTTGTCGCGCTGTACACCAGGATATCGTCCAGGTACACGATGACCTTCTTGTCCAGCATGTCCCGAAAAATTCCATTCATGGTGAGCTGGAACGTTGAGGGCGCGTTTGTCAGGCCGAACGGCATCACTGTGAACTCGTAACTGCCGTAGCGTGTGCGAAAAGCGGTCTTCGGGCAGTCGTCGGCGAATACGCGAATTTGGTGGTAGCCTCCTCGCAGGTCGATTTTCGAAAAATACCGAGCTCCGCGAAGTTGATCCAGCAGATCGTCGGTTCGCGGGATCGGGTAACGCGACTTTATCGTGACCCGATTCAGCGCCCGATAATCAATGCACATGCGTAGGCCACCGTCCTTCTTCGGCGTGAACAGTATCGGTGCTGCATACGGCGACGTGCTGGGCCGGATAAATCCCTTGGCGAGCAGGTAATCCAGCTGGGCCCGCAACTCGGCGAGTTCTGGTTGACTGAGCCGCCACTGTGTCCGCACAGTAGGTTGCGCGCCGGGCTCCAGCTGGATCCGATGATCCTCAGGTCGTTGGGGGGGCAAACCATCCGGGAGGTTATCCGCGAAAATTTCGGGATACTTCCGAATAATGCTCGCCAATTCCTCGGGGACTGCCGCGCAGAGGGTGTCGATGTCCGCGATTTTCTCGGAAGCTGCCACTTCGTACAGGTGCACTAAGAAGGCCTGAGCTCCGCTTTTCATCGCACGCTGCATGTTGACCGCGTTAACACGTGTCGTCACCGGCTCCGGCTCCGTCCATTTCGGAAGCGTCGTCTTCCCTCCGTATCCTCGCACGACGCACGCCCCAGTCGTCCAGTCGAACGTCGGATTGAAGCGCTGCAGCCAATCCCTCCCCAGCAGCACATCGCAGCCGTCCAACGTCGTCGCCAACATCCTCATCTCGGATGGCCAGCGGTGTCCCGTCCACCAACCTTGCATCGATCTCTGGCAGACACCTGGTCAGCTTCACCCCCATTTTTTTGGCCGTTGCCAGGTTGACGAGACTGTGGCTCGCCCCACCGTCAACGAAGATTTTAAT